AACCCCCCCAAAAAAAAAAAAAAAAGAATTGTTTTATTTAACGTCATTTATTTATTTATTTTAATTTGACCAGAGATGGACAGAGACAGGGGAAAACAAAAAGAGAGAGAGAGAGAGAGAGATAGGGAAAGTAAGAGAGCAAGCTGCCAGGTCCGGGACTCAAACTGTGGTCGGCCATGTGGGAGTCCAGCACCCTTAATAATCACGCCACCTGCCGACCATTTTTTTTTTTTTTTTTTGCCACAGGACACATGCACTTGCTGGAGAGAGACAGAGAGGGAAAGTGAGAAATCACCTCTCAGGGAGGATGGCCACCCTACATTCCTCTCTCTTCCATTATCCTCTTGGGACTCTGGGCAAGCACACACAGGTACCTGCTGTGGTTCTCAGGCTGCTGGGTCTGAGGCTCGAACTGTGATCGACCATGTGAGAGTCTAGCACCTCAACCACCGTGCCACCTGCTGGCCCAGCCTTTGCTTCTTTAACCACCCTTGCAGGCTGGTATAATAGCACAGCTTCTGGCCCACGGCTGAAGCCTCGGGACTGACCCGCGCTTCAAGCATGAATAAAACAAGGATGTCATTACATTACCAATCCTGGCTCCAGTTAACGTTGGCCAAGAATCCCATGCCTCCACCTCACATAATACATTCTATTCTTCTTTTGGGGATTTGTTTTCTGAATCAGTTTACTCCTTCGTGATCCAACAATCACCAAGTGGAATTCTCTCCATCTTTCATCCTTCATCATTAGGGGAAAATACAGTATCATTTTCTGGCAAGAAATACATATCTTAAAATGAAAGACAATCTATAGTGACCCCCCCAAAAAAAAAAAAACCCAAAAAACAAAACAACCCTCAAGAGTACGACTTTCCTGATGAATCAGAGCTGGAAGTGATTTAGGGCTATGTGTATTAAAACAATGAACGCCCACACCCATTCCTCCATTTCACAAGAAAACCAAACACCGTCTTTTAAGTAAGCGAGGGGCTGCTTAGAAACCCTTTAAGTCAGCCATAGATAAGTGCGTTGGCATGGTTTGAGGAAATGTGTAGAGGAAATTAAAAATATTTATTTTATTGAACTAATAGTCCCCGCTGAAGATTAAAGCGGCAGTTGAGCCGTAACTGTTAGATACGATTCAGCTTGGTTTCTGTTCCTTTAGCTCCTAAATGTCCACTTGCAATGGCGTACAAGTTTTAGATTGTAACTTACTAAGTGCTTGCCACCGTGTGCCTTGTCCATAAAATGGAATTGTCTCAGATTGCTTTTTAGGATTAGAAATATACTTAGTTTGATTTATCTGAGTTGGCAGATATTATTTTTAAAGATTTGGAATTTAAAATTCCTGCGACTCTTTAGGTAGACTAAGAATTCGGTATGTTGTAAAGAATTAGTCTCTAAGATCACGTATTTTGGTCATATTAGTTTGTTAAAGTTCATTGCGAAAGTTGCCATTTTTGTAATGCATTTTCTAAGAATCATTTTTAGCGGCATCATGGAGAAACCAGAGCTGGCTAGCTGTTCTCATTCTGGGTAGTGCCTCTTAGAGACTTGAGTCAGAGGATACGACTTCAGCTTGTCGTGTCCAGCTTACTCCCCAGTATCTTCTTTGTGGGTGTACGACGCTAGGATCTATTTCATTTTTATTTTGGATTTATAAAGGAGGGGCTATTTGGATTGCAACATGTTAACGCGGAGACAGCCTCTTTACTCAGGAGGCAGGTAGTAGCTACAACCACAGCTGAGGGTTTTTGTTTTTGTTTTTTTTTTTGCCCGAGGGTATGTGTGCTTGCGAGAGAGAGAGAGAGAGAGAGAGAGAGAGACAGACAGACAGACAGACAGACAGACGGACAGCTGGGATTTAGGGCACACACATCCATGTGCCCAGCATGTTTTTCAAGATGCCAAGGTTGGATTCAAACCATGACTGACCACGTGGAATCCAGTTCCTTTAACACTGCAGAATGAGGCTGGCCCAATAATAGTCGGGTTTTAATGTTCCAGAGAATGGCTTAACATGTTTTATGTCCACTATTTCATGTGGTGACAACAACCCTATTTTGTAGTAATTATAATTGCCACGTTGTTTTCATGACCAGAGGGCATGTGCAGAGAGAGAGAGAGACCCCAATGAAGTGTGGTCCCAGCACAATCCTTTTCCTTCCATTTGCCTTCTTTTCAGGATCTTGGGCATGCTCACACACAGACCCAGGGTGTTTTTCAGGCCATCGGGGCTGGGATTTGAACTGTATGTGGCTGTATGGGGTCCGCCTCACTTAACCACTGCACCAAGGAGCTGAGCCTATTGCCATCATTTTATAAGTGAGGAAACTGACAACTCTGAGAGGATGCATAGGCTTCCCATGGGTCTCTAGAGGGCTGTGGCAGAAATGGGGTGCTCCTGGGATGGTAGGCTGGGTCTCACCACCGAATGTGTGGGGCCTCATTTTTTTTTTTTTTTTTTGGAGAGGTTTTCGCTATAGGGCCACTGCGCTCCCCAGCCAGACAGAGAGAGAGAGAGAC